ATGAGTCGCCAGGAGAAACTCGTTGGTGTCGCACCAAGCATGTCGCCTAGGCGACCAAACGAATCCGCAGTAGTGAAGATCGGCCGGCCAGTGCACATTTTGCGCGTTTCGTGATTTCCTCACTCGTCGTCTCAACAAAACTGATAAGTATGAACAGCGCAAACGGGTCGGACGCAAGCGCTCGCGAAAGTGCAGTGAATGTAACTTTTTGTCGCAGCGACAGGAGCGCACCACCAAGCGTCTGAGAACTTGTCGGACTGAAAAATAGAGGACCGCTGCGCAGGATGGGAACAGGTATGGATGTGGGGGGGAGGGTTAGGTCGGGCATGTCCCCTTATAGGCGGATTTTGGACGAAAAATAAGACTGACTCAGCAGATATTCAACAATAGCCAAAAAATGCAAGAACAATCGTGCCCAGACTATTTTTCAACTACTTTATAATATTCCTCCTGTAGAGGGACATGCCCGACTTAAGGGGAGGGGGGGCACGCTCATCACATGTAGCACCTCGCGTGCGGCGTAGGCAGCCTCCTACGACCAGTGCGCAACGCAGTCAAGCCAGCTCAGCACACAGCAAGCCAGTGTGCTTGGCTGTCCCGTGCGAGCATGGCCAGTGGGCCACGAGGGCGTCTGGCGTGAGCTGGGGAAGAACCCAGCGACCTAGGCCTTACAGTGGAGGCCCGTCCACAAGAAACCTTCCACGCGAAACCCAACCCAGAGACCCCAGGACGTCCATGGATGTTTGGTGTGGGAACGTCACGCTTTCCATAGCAAAACCAGCGAAACCCAAGAAACCCAAGGCACCCTGGAGGCAAGCAGGGTGTTTCTTGGCATGGGTCTCCACTGTGTAGCCCCAGCCTGTGCTGCGCGGCAACGGAGAGGAGAAAGGGAACGAGAAGCCAACAAACGACGGCGAACGCGCAGGCCTGAGGCCAGGGCAGGCGGGACAAAGCAGGCGGGCGGGCAGGCTGGAAAGGACGGCGGGGAGACAGCAAGCAGGGAGCAACCAACGGGTGCGTGACGCTGGAGGCCGCCCAGATGGGGCCAGAGTAGATGGGGTCTGAGGGCCGCGCCTCATCGTCAGCGCATCACCGATGCATCGTTGACGTCGCGATGGGGAGCACAGGGTTGTGGACAATGTTGCATCGCCGATGCATTGGCGATGCAGCAAGACCCACCGACCCCATTCGCTCTCGCCCTATCCAGGCGGCCTGGAAACGCCAGGCCCAGACATCTGGCAGCTGGACATTTCAAAGCATGGCCCCCGGACTCCTTCACGGTGGCTGGCGTGTCATCCCGACTGCCCTTTTGACGATCCCAGGGCCCGAAGCCGGCCTCAATAGGCTCACAACAACAAAGCATTGGCTCTCTCGGTATCTTTCGAGCCGCCCTGAGTCTGGCACGCGAATGTCGAGTGTTTGTTGCTCCGCCCGCTCGGTGCCTGCGTCGGGCTGCTCCAGCGGATACAGCGGGCCCTCGGCAGTGCCGGCGTCTCTGGTCAGCACTTGCAGGTGCAGGTGCTGCGCCGGGCGGAGTTGGGCGTGGGCGTCGTGGTTGGGGGTGCCGTGTGGGCCCAAGGGGGGCGGCTGGTGCTTCGGTCGAGTCCGCCCCCGAGGTCGCATGCGCCACTCCATGGTGAATAGGCCCAATCCGCAGGTCCAAGTTTGCTCATAACTGAATATCCACCGAGCCATCCCAATCCAACCCGAAGTCGCCGTTGGGCCTGCTGATTTCCACTGGGGAGACGTCCTGGAACATAGAGAAACACACAATGGGACCCGTACAGCCTCCAAACCGAAATGTTTTGGGGGGGGTCTGCGGCCGTCGGGTTGGGTTGGGGTGGCTTGGTATATAATGAAGAATAGCAGAGTTCGGCTTCGCCTTCGGTGGTGCTTGGGTCTGCTTCCTTCTTTTCCCGGCCCCCAACATGGGAGAGCAGATGCCCTCTGCACCGAAGGGGTAGGGAGGGCAGCAAGAGGGATTTGGGATATGAGGGGGGGGAGGGAGGGGATGAGGAGGGGGAAGAGAGGAGGGAGGGACAGAGCGAGGGAGGAGGAGTGGAGACGGGGGGAGGCGTGAGGAGAAGGAGGAAGAAGAGGAGGAAGAAGAGGAGGAGGGGAAAGAATTAAGAATGGGGGGGGAGAAGCGAGAGGGAGGGGCAAGAGATTATGAGGACGGATAGGGAACGTGGAAGGGGCAGGAAAGTGGGCAGGAGGGTGGCATAGAGGGAGGATGATGAAGGAAGATGATAAGCAGACGCGTGAATAGGGCACGAGGAAGTGGATGATGGGGGAGGGAAATACAATGGAAACAAGAAAAAGGAGGGACCAATGACACCGGATCATACTGAGATGAGTACGAGGATGTGGTGGAGGAGGGAGGAACAGCCGGAAAGGAAAGAGAGGGAGCTATGGTGGGGATGCCACAGGATGTCCCCCGAGCGCTGGAATTTGGGCATGACGTGGAATGGTTCTGCTTCGATGTCCGCTTCGAGCCATCGAGCGATCCATACAAAATACTTCAGTACATCGATTGCGACTTGCCGATAGTTCAGCTATCGATATTTCGAGCTATCAACTCTGAACTATCGTTGCCGATAGTTTGGCTAAGATGGGTTGCGATAGTTCGAGGTGGGCCTCTGAGTGAGGGAAGCGGGACTTGGACCCCAAACTCCTCCAGGGCCAATTTCAAATCCAGAACTGTTTTGATCATCCCTGGATCTGGGAGATTCCTTGGGAGGTCGACATCTGCCAAACGTCTCCGACCCCCCTTTCCTCGGGCCGCCTCTTATACATGGTGAGCAGTCCCAGACGTCTGGCGGCCTTTATTTTTTTCGATCTGTGTATATGCATGTGAATATGTATATGCATATGTATATGAGCATGCATGTTTATGAGTATACGTTTTTGCATGTGTATATGTATATAGCTATATCGCATACGTGCATACTTACATGTATGTGCACATGCATGCGCATTTGCATATGTTTATGCATCCGTATATGTATGTGCACATGTATATGCATATGTATGTGTGTATGTATGCGTATGTGTATGCGTCTGTGTCTGTGTATGTGTCTGTGCACGTGCATGTGTTTGCGTATGTTGATACGTATGTGCAGGTGCATATGCATGTGTATGTGTGTATGTCTGTATGTATGCATGCATGAATGTATGTATACATGCATGCATGCATGTATGTATAACATACATCTATGTGAAGGCCCTAAGGGTTCCAAGATGGCGCGGGAAGCTGGGGGCACCTTGGGTCAGGACCACCCCTGGCAGTCTGCCCAGGGATCCGATGTCTTGACCCTTCCAATGCGGAGTCCCAAACAAACCCAACCCTTTCCCCTAAACATGCGTTTTCAGTCCTGGGCGATACTTTGGCGGCCCCATGGACCCAGCGCGGGGCCCCTTCCAGAGGCCGAACACGGGGAAGAACCTCCTCCTCGTCCTCCTCCTTCTCCTCGTCGCCGTCCTCCTCCTCCTCCTCCTCCTCCTCCTCCTCCTCCACCTCGTCCTCGTCCTCGTCCTCTTCGTCCTCCTCCTCCTGAGGCCTGCGTCCGACTCTGGAGGCCTCCTGGGATGGGGTCCGCATAGATGGGCTCGGAGGGTCGCGCCGCATCACCGATGCATCGCTGATGCATCGGCGACGTCGGCGGTAACTCGGCGACGCCGGCGCAGAGAAAATCGCCCCCCCCCCCCCCTCGCGCCGCATCGCCGACATAGCAGCGAGGCGGCGCGATCTCCTGACTCCATCTGCTCGGGCCGAACGTGGGAGGCCTGGAGGCTCTCATTCACAGGGGGCAGCAGTCCCCGTCCGCGAAGCCCCCGCCCACGCTCCCCCAGGAGCTGCAGCAGCAGGCCGCCGACAATCCAGTCGCCCTCCGGGCAGCCGGCTGGAGCCGTGGTCGGTGCACCACCCCCGGGGCACGGCAACAGCCGCTCGCCGCCGCTGCCTCGCCCGCGACGCCCCGATCTGCGGCCCCTGGATGCCTCGGGAGGCCTCCGTCTCCGGAGACCCTCGGAGATCTCTGGAGGGCGAAGGGGCCTCGGGAGGGCTCGTCTCTGGAGGAGGCCACCCCAGTCCCACTCGAGTCGTGAACAAGAGCGCGACGGGAAGTGTTCGGCCATTTGCGGCCTCCAGGGGCCCTTCACGGGCCCTGCGACGGTCAACAGGTAATTACCCGAGATGAGAAGCCGGTCGCTGGGAATGGTCGAGACCTCCGCGGGGGTCCACGTTGTGGACAAATCATGAAGTCAGGGGTCTGGATCCCGAGGCCCAAACAGCGACAAACGATGCAGCAGACTTATCTGGGTCACGCGCATCGCGCCCCCCGGCCGCGCGGTTATATACCAAGGGCACCCGTGCGGCACCTTAGAGGCGCGACGCGCGATCATTTCCGCGCCCCCGCGGGTCACCCAGAAAAGGTCATCAAAATGCAAGCGAATCGGGGACGAGGCAACCCGGGGGTCAGCACTCAGCGGGTGAGCCGAGGCCATGTCGCAAATCCTGGCCGGCCGCACCGAGAGAGCCCACGCACGAACCCGAGGAGGGAGGAGACGTGGAGCCTGGAGGCGGACGGGGCTCCTGAAGTGGTTGGGGCACCAGAAAGCCGGCCAGGAGGGGGGGTGAAGCCGAATCCGCTCAAAAGCGATCCCTGGACCCCTCCCGGAGTCCATCGGGTGGAATTTCTCGCCCTGGATCCGTTCCTGACGGTCCCAGGACCCGAGAATGGCGCCCGGAGGCCGAAAAAGGTAGAAACCCTTTCGAACCCAACGTCTCGAACCTGCCCCCCCTCCCTGCCGAGCGGAACCAGTGCTGGGCTATCTCAGACCCCCAGCCAACTCCAACGTGGAGCCCGCCCCGCGGTGAGCTCAAACCCGGGTCGGCTGGGGGAAGAAGAGGAGGAAGTGGAGGAGGTGGGTGAAGAGGGGGAGCAGGAGGAGGAGGAGGAGGAGGAGGAGGAGGAGGAGGAGGAGGAGGAGGAGGAGGA